CAATACACTACCAGTTACTTTTAATATATTTTGCTGAAGCTTGATATTATGAGTAAATTAGGCACTCCCAACAGGTTGGACTGGACAGTACTGAAGAGAAGAATAGGAGAAGGGGTTCCACATCACGAATGTTGACCAGCACCAACTACAAGATGTATGAGTGTCCCAACTGTACTTACACCACCTATGTTGCTACCAGCATGAAAAATCACATTCGGACCCATACTGGCGAAAGACCTTTTTACTGTACTTACTGTCCTTTTAGTTCTACAACAAAGGCTAACCTGCAGAAACATATTCGTACCCACACTGGTGAAAAGCCCTTCAAGTGTGTTCATTGTGACTATTGTTCCTCAAGAAAAGATACTCTGAAGAGCCATATCCTGAGTCATCATTTTTAAACATATGATAATTAGGAAGTTAGCAGTTAATTAAAAATATGGGGTAAGAAAAAAATATATTCATCAATGATTAAATTTCTGCTAGAAAAGAACAGAAAAAATCATGATATTATTTGGAGGAATGCATGTTTGTAAAGGAAGATTGCAATTATACAAAAGATATGTCAAAAGAAAAGGAAATATGTGAATGTGCTTGTGTTATATGTTTTTACCTCATAATATTCATTATTATATTGATGATAGGCAGGTGAACTTTTTGTAAAATTGCAAGAGATCAGAAAAATATTCTGTTTCCAGCAGTGTCATTACATATGTTATATTGAGAAAGATACTGTATTTTTTTAGAATAGAATTGGATTTTTTTTTTATAACAGAACTTTCCTTATTAATTATCCTCAAAATCCATAGGAATGTCATGTGTTAAATAAATCAGGCAAATAAAAAGATTAAGAATAACTGGGAATGTGATTCTATTATATGTGAAAGCATATTGTAGAATAGCACCTGAATATCAAAGGATTTACCATGTATTAGCATACATCCAGTTTGTGGAACCCAAACACATACCTGAAATATTACTGAATATATCTGATCAGAAAATACATATCAAACAGTCTTTAACAATGCTCTTCTTTATACCATAATTAGCAAAAAAATATACTCTTTTTACTCTGATTATTATTTTTTAAAGAACACTTTATTAGGCTGTACAAGGTGGCAAAAACAGCTAGGTTTTGATTTGTCATTTATACCTTTCCGTTATCTTTTCCTGTGTAAGTAAGCTGGGCATTCCCAACAGGTGGGGATGGACAGTGATGACCTGAGGGATGGCAGAAGAATTACAGGACCTAGCATGGAAGTTCCACCTTTCTACAAGACTCACCAGTGTCCTTACTGCACTTACAATACAAAATTTACCACAAGTTTAAGAAATCACATGCGAACTCATACAGGAGAGAAGCCATATTCATGCCCCTACTGTTCCTTTTGCTCTGCTACAAAGGACAGACTGAAATCTCATATTCGTACCCACACTGGAGAGAAACCCTATGCATGTTCATATTGTCCACATCGGTCGTCAAGGAAAGACTCTTTGAAAAATCACATGTTAACCCATCAACTTCAGTAATTTGTATTATACTGTCTTGAAGATCTTGGAGGTATAGTGAATGTCAAACAAATCTAAAGATTATTTAATTTCTTATCTTTGAAATTATAAATTCATGTTATTTATTTTTTATGTGCACACAAAGACATGTATACACGCACACACACTAACACTCTAACTCTCACTCTCACTCTCTCTCACTCACATGCATACATGTGCACGCACATGCACACACACACATGTGCACGTGCGCGCATGTGCACTCACACACACACACTCATACACACACACACATACACACACACACACACACACACACACACACACACACACACACACACACACACACACACACACACACATACACACACACACACACACACATTTACTAAAAATACTATAAAATTTAAAGTGACATTTATCACTCAAGGAGCACATTATTTCAGAATATTTTTAGTTTAAACACTAAAAATGTACAGTATTCTTGATATCAAATGAAAATAAAGTTCTGCTCAACATCAGTGTTATAAACTGTTAAATCAAAATGAATGGTAAGAAAGTGTAGTTGTCTATGCACTAAAGTTCATTGAAAGATTTGGGTTTATACTTAAATAATTAAAATGCAATCACAATCTTTATCAATGTTTATAGTTACATGACAGTAAAATATTAAACAAGTATGTTAAGCGTGTTACCTGTAATTATATTAAGATGGGCGTCCTCTACAGGTAGGATTGGACAATGACGATCAAAGGACTGGTGGGAGAGGGACTGCAGGAGCGAAAAAGGGTGTTCCTTCAATCGGCAAGGTCATGAAGTGTCCCTACTGTGCCTACACGACCAGTATCACTACAAATATGAAGAAACATGCACGTACTCATACTGGGGAAAAACCTTATGCTTGTCCATATTGTCCATTTAGAGCTTCTCAGACTGAAAACCTAAAGAGACACATTCGCAGACATACTGGAGAGAAGCCATTTGCATGTAA